GGGGGCGAGAGACTGATTGTGCGACTGAGGTTTATAAGCCTTTTCTCAATCCAACTAAATTATAAGTCATTTTATTAATGAAGAAACTATAGTCTTTCTATGGACAGTAGCTTGCGGTGGAAACGAATTGGTGGGGAAAATGGTTATCGGATTGTGGTTTGTAAACCTTGATTAAACAAAACGGGCGCATTCTTTTGTTTACCACCCATCCAGCTGTACATTGTATATATTGTATATTGTATATATACAACTGTATATTATTATTATTATTATTATTATTATTATTATTATTACACAGTGTCGAAGAATCTGTTGATTTCAATAAACAGATTCTCCTTCAGCTCTTTTGCAGAACCACTATTATGTTTGAAACTTTATTCACCGACTGTCCAGCACTGATTTGCTCTTCTCCTCTTGATGGATCTCACTGCCAAGTCGCACTGGAAATTTTGATCATCTTGTGCCTGGTCACACTTGCTTTGTATCAGCTTCGAGCCCTGAGAGGCTCCGTTCGTATCGATACAGAGCTTGGAGTACGTGCTCTAAAACACAAACGCATTACAATTACAGAGACATCATTCTAAAAATGGATTTGCTCCAATTTGGCTCAGGCAAATAAGTGTAATTTGAAGGCTTAAAAGCAAAGGGGTAATGACGGTGAATGCATCAGTGTTACACCTTTACACCTCTGTATGAAAAGGTCTGACAAATACGGCATTCGCCATTTTTTTTGCAACACATTAACCTTCGTTTTTAACTCGTGAATTGTGCATTCCAATGAACGAGGTATCGAATATTCACGTCGCATTTGCTCGAGCAAAATTAGAGCAACTCTATTTTCTCACTAACATACTGATTAGAAACATCACATGTATTATCTATATCATTATAAAATCGCGTTCTACCGTGGTATAACGCATAAAATTACCGACGCAATATCTTAAATGGGAAGAAATCGCGACAAAAGAAAATTAAATTTCGAATTTAGGCCAGCTTTGAACAATTAAGTTTCCGCGCAAGTCATTTTGATTACCAATTGCAGGACAGGAATGCAACAGTTAGCATGTTTGTAATAGTGGGAGCTGAATTAACGCAGGCAGCAAATGTGTTGGTTTTCCTTTTAAGAAAGAAAAGCATTCAATTGGAAAATATTCTATCGCTATAGCTGAAGGAAGAGTTCATAAACCTGGATTTGTCCTTTGACGGTGTAACTCCAGACCTGTCTCTCGTCAGTATCCTTACAACCTGTTACTTTAATTAGAGTACCATCTGTCTTGGAGTCCACGTACAAACAGGGTCCATATCTGTCATCTGTGGCGGATTGCTGATTCTCTATCAAGAATTGCTCTTTACACCGGAAGAAGGAAGAGACCAATTACTTTTTGAAGCATGGAATTGTTAAGTCATAATTGTATAAGAATCTAGTGTATTAAGAACCTACTGGCTGAACTTTGAAAATTAGACCCCCATTATAAAAGAACTCATTCAACCTGAAATTTAAAACAGGTTTTTATTTGTAAGATCAGCCTAATCAAGTTAAATTTGTCGCTTCGTCGCCAAGTAGGATAATAATAGTAGAGTTATTTTGAAAAAAAAAAAGTTTTTCTTCGTCAAACTAACCCCAGATTTCCCGAGTTAATTACATGTCAGCTGCAAAGAAAAACATTATGGTCTCGGTAGGACAGCTCGATTTTGATTGCTATTCGTTATGTGGGCGCAGTCACCGTATGCAAGGAGGCGCAGTCTTTTTCAATGTTAAAATATTTCGGTAGATCGACTTGTTGAACCAACTGCTGTACAATAATCTTCGATTTTCTGTTTGATTCACTGTATGTTTTTTACGACCACGTGAAACAAAATCTGCCAGCTAAATAGCAGAAAAATGCGCAACCTCTGAGACAAAAAAACTTTCAACCCTTCAAATATGAGGAAATGTCCCATCGTGGCCCTGGCTTACTGGCGGATTTGAGCCATATGACCGTTGTGACTCCAAAAAAGCCTATTTTGCGGTAAATGAAATATACTGATATGACCTCAGTCTTTCTTTAGATAACGTACTATTACTGACCCAGTTCTTCTCTAGATAAAGGTATGAAGCTCACCTGACATTGCAAAGTCAACATAAGGATTAGGATTGTCGTAGTAGTTAGTCTCAGTGTCTGTTGCATCTTTTTGATTCATTTTATCCTGGTACCATTCAGTGGATTTATCCGATGTCGCCCTCAGGCTTCCAATTGGGTCCCTTAGGTTGAAACTCACGGCGAGAAATAGGTCCGCTCCAAAAATGACCAAGTCGACTGCTGCAGTGAAAATCATATCGGGGTATCCTCCGGATGCGTACGTGGACAAAGCAAAGTCGATTATGATACTGATGGAAAATAATTAAAAGCAAAACTTGATTATTTACCTCTATGACTGTGGTCTGGCAGCGTGTCTTAGTCCCGCTTTAATGTGCTATATTGTTAAACAATCGGTAATAATGCAAGAAAATAGCTAAAAAAAGCAGAATAACAACAAGGAAGCCAAAGAAGAAGAAGAAGAAGAAAAAGAAGAAGAAGAAGAAGAAGAAGAAGAAGGAGGAGAAGAAGAAGCAGAAGCAGCAGCAGCAGAAGAAGAAGCATTAGAAGAATAAGCAGAAGCAGCAGCAGAAGAGGAAGAAGAAGAAGAAGAAGAAGAAGAAGAAGAAGAAGAAGAAGAAGAAGCAGGAGAGGAAGAAGCAGAAGTAGGAGAATAGGAAGATCATGATGATGAGACAGAAGCAGAAGAGGAAGCAGAAGAAGAAGCAGAAGAAGCAGAAGAAGATAATAGATAAGAAAATAATAATAATAATAATAATAATAATAATAATAGTAATAATAATAACAATATTTACAGAGGATATCACCAAGCTAACACTAAGTTAATTAGGGTGGTCCTCTGTCTACATTACTACAATTTACTATGCAGAATTAAAAACTGAAGCTTAAAAATTTAAAATTACAAGAATAAGCAGACGCAGAAGAAACAGTTTGTTTAGCTTTGTGTGCTGTAATGATTCAATTTAACGCCCGGGGCACTAATTACCATTAGTTGCTTAAGGGAATTTTTATTGGAGAGGAGAAAATTGTAAGAGGCAGGGCGTTTTTCTCTTTTTGGACATACATCACAGTATACACATATAAAAGTGATACGGTCCTTTATTGAATAAATAGCCCTTTTGTGACAGCCCTTACGATAGCTCTTCTATGACAGTCACAGAACAATTTGCTTCATTATTCGAAATCAGTGTACTCATCGTTTTGTCCAGGCTGTATATTTCATCAGTCGTCTTATTAGTCTATTCTAGACTGTGGTATGTGATCCTTCTGATTAATGCAGTGTAAATAATTGATATATTTTGTAATAAATTGCTCACTTATCTACCGGTCAGATGTGTTTGCAGTCGCAGTATCGTTACATATAAACAGAAACAAATAGCGATTAATCTAAATTACCTTTTAACTCTAAAGGCCGTGAGAAGGAAGTTAATAGCTTTGCCGACCCATCTAGTGGCAGCCTCAGTTAACTTCAGAAAAGCTACAGCAACATCCAATACGCTACACAGACCTTTCGTGATATGGTTCACCACGTTGCACGCTCCCTCACACAGACTCGCCACCGCTGAAAACACACAATAAAAGGTTTGTTGCGTATAAGCCAAGGCTGTCGCAAGCGACCGCCTTGGAAAATTTGAGGTAGTAGTCCTCGTAATTCTTCAAATGCTGTATCTCCCAGTTTATAGTCACAAGTTTCGAGTTTATTAAAAAAAGAAGCAACACAGACTCCGCTGAAACTCGGTATTCATTTTGATTTGATTGTTGTTCGCTTTGTTTTGTTGTTACAAGACCAAAAAAAAAAGCACAATCGCAAATCTGCCAGTCTAAATTTTTAAGATGAAGTGACCACTCCCGTTTTGAACCATATCGTTAGAAGATTTAAAGAGGTCATTGACGTTAGTCTAAAAAAAATGGAAATGACCTCTAAACTACTTGACTTTGTGTTGCACTCCACGCAAATGCAACTCTCCAGATCCACCATTTAATGGAGGGACAAAATAATAAATAAATGAAGTGATCCATTTAAGGACGAGCGGGCCATTACAACTAAGAAGAAAATGGTTGATGAAATACCATTAATCACGCAGTTTAGACTACGAGTAGTCCCTCTTTCGCTTAGATCATCGTGCGTGACGCGAAAGAAATCCGCAAGAAAAAATGGCCGCCTGAAATCCTGTGGGCGAAACGCGCGTATTTCTCCCCCCTACCCTCCCCCCCTAACCCCCAGGAGTTCACAAGGCCACTTTTTTCTCGCGGCTTTCTTTCGCGTCACACAGCAGTTGTTCTCTGTGGGCATGTTCAGAAACAGCTTTTTACGCTCGGACGCTTCGCCACAAAAAAGACCGGAACCACGAAACGTCCTGCTTTCTTATTATTGGTCACCGACTACCGCAACCAAGCGAGCCTCACGAAATCCAGTAATTATCTTTCTAGTGTTTTCTGGTCACGCATTAGGAGCATTAGGTAGCGCGTGATGTGCGCGCACAATAACAACGTCCTGATTACGGACTTTGGTTTAGGCTACTGGTTGATGCAATTTCTTTTTTATTTAACCTGCTTGATGCGGAAATTCACATCGCCTTATTCATAGCAACAGTGTTTAAGAGTCAAACACGATATACATTTTAAACAAAATAGTTTTGGGTGTCCCCAATCGGTAGGTTCCTTGTAGCCATCAAGTAGGCTGAAAAATAAATAAATATTGATTGATTACCGTTACATCCTCCTCCAACAACTCCCTCGCAGATAATTTTACTGACGAAGCGACGACGGCGGACATGACTGGCAAAATCTTCGTTTCGCATCTTCTCCAACTCTCGCTTCTTTCTCCAGCCCTTAAACGCTTTCTTAAAGGCTTTTCCAACCTATATGGACAAACGAGAATGATGGTCAAGTTTTATTTGCAGGAATGTTCACATGATGGTTGAGCAGTAACACTGACTTTGCTCTTTTGCCGCGTCAACAAAACGACTTTGAAATGTCTGTCAGTCCGAAAGCAGGGCTTTGTTAAAACGTTTTTTAGTTCCAAGAGAAGAAATCGTCAGCAACAGACCTTCAAGCTCTCTTGATCGAAATTTTCTTATTTTCATTTGGAGTTGAACGCTGGTGTTATATGTTTAGCTTGAACAAGTTCCGAGACCAATTGGTGCACTAAAAAGCCAAATTCAAAGGCAAAATATAAATCCATTTTTTTCCAGCCGTAGTCATTGCTTACAAGCTCCGTGTTTTAAAGTGGATCAAAACAGTTTCTAGCACTTAGATTGTGATGGTTCGTTTATAACTGCTTTTTCTTAAATGCACTTTTTTTCCAGCCGTCATCATTGCTTACAAGCTCCGTATTTTAAAGTGGCTCAAAACAGTTTCTAGCACTTAGGTTGTGATGGGTCGTTTATAGCTACTCTGTATCACTTGATGCTACAATTATGTTATTAAAAATCTGCCCAATCATTGGTGAACACGTTGCTATCATTTTCGTGACGCAATAGGTTACCATAGCAACAGTATGACCTGCGAAAAACACTCTCAATTACAGCTTTAGGGGCTTATAATTCAAAAAAGGCACGGTGAATTGAAGAATTTTATATTGTCAAATTTTAATAAGCATGATAAGTTTGAACTTTTGGCAAAGTTTACAAAAATCTGCACATGGGGTTCAGAGCCACCTTAAATTTTTGAAAATTTAAGGTGGTATTCTCGCTTGAGTGGTTTGCATTTAGGAAATTCAGCCATTCTCGAATTTTCTGCAAACATGCCCAGGAGAAATCGATCTATGTCATTATGTGTCCCCATTTTGAAAGTTCTGGATATTCTAGTCAAATTGAAAGCGCCAGATGTTTTACCTTCTGAAGTTCAAACACTTACTAATGGAAAGAACTATCAAAGTATGAAAGTGGTTTTCGCTTCTTCATACAGTAGGCAGACAATGATATAACGCGTCTTGTTTGCCGAGGAGGCTGAAAGAAAAACTTTCGAAATATTAACTTTTTGTAAGAACGAAAACGAACACCATTGAGCCATTTCTCTGGTGGAACATGTCAGTACTTAAACTAGTTTACTTGTTTAACGAGACGAGTGATCCGTTATGGAGGCACCCATACGCTGGACAGGGTAATTTAAAGGTGAGTCTGCCCTACACAAGTAACTGAATTTAAGAAGTGTAAGCCTGCAAGATTGCGGTTGTTTAATATGACTTATTACAGTATCCAGAAATCTGGGATGGGAAACATAAAGGTCTGCGGATAGTTAACTAGCAGGCCAAAACTAGACTCCATAAACCTTTCAAGCGAAAATAGCAATTGGACGTTTGCGGCGGATTAATTTCACCTCAATCCTTTGCTCCGAACAAGATCCTGCAGTAGAGGGCAATCCTACAGAGGGTAGGCATCTTAGTTTTTTTTTACCCTGGCATGCCAAGAACCCTCCAACCTGCGGATGGTTCAGATTTGGAAATTAATCGCCCCAAAAAATCATCACTAACCGAAGATAAAGCTTTGCCGATCCATTTGCCAGCTGCATCCATGAACCCTTTACAATCGTCTTGCGCTTGTTTGCATTTAAGACTCTTACAGTTATCGCACTTGAGTTCCAGTTTTCTTTTACATTCCTCTTTCTTCTCAGTAACAGCTTTTTGCGCATCTTGCAAGCTTTTCTCTGCTGCATCAAAAGCTGCTTTGACCGCTTTCGCTGCTTCATCCAAAGCCTGAAAGAATGTGGTTCCAAAAATTTAGTCTAAACGTACTATCGGTGTTATATAATTCTAACGATTTTTTTGGATTTCTAAAAATTATTTATGGTAAGCATACTTAGATTCACTATTGTTTTAACCATTTCCGAAATTTACAAGGATTTCTCGTTCTTCAGGAGAGCGAGAGGAATTTTGATTATTGTGGCGATTTGCACTCGTCGTTCAGCTGAGTACGGATGTGAGTCTATTGAGGTTTTTTTGTAATATCTCGAATTAGTATATACATAGTGCTTTGATTGGTTAACTCGGTGGTGATTAGCAAGTACTATTCACCTCCGAGCAGCCGGCGCGAGAGATTTTTAAATAATCGACCGCTTGTCACACATCAAATAACGTTTTGGTCCGCTAATTATGCAGCTTGTGTGGTATATACTAACACAATTGTTCACCTCAGTGTCGGTAAAAGTGATGGATATTTACCTCCACTTCGATGAATAATTGTTAATTATTCTCGCATTTTCATTGTAGGCTTCTTTATGATCAGTTAAAAATATGACGCATAGATTACGTGATTAACGTTGTTTTTTAGTATACGAAACAAACTGATTCCATGTTGCCGTGCGTCTGTTCAGTATTAGATTACAGAAGACATCAAAATGTGGTAAGTATTTCGGTAACACACTCGACTATCGCCTCGTGTGCCGCGTTTTTGCTCATAACACACTTTGACTTCATCTGTGATCTATTACTGACCAGACGCAAGGCAACATGGAATCTTTTTGTTAAACAGATGTATGCCTTGGATATTAATATAGATCGCGCTATTAACTTGCTGTTGTACATTAATTACACCGAGCACACAAGTACATACCCAAGACGACTATAGTAATGAAAACCTGCATGCATGGAGCTCAATGTACATATATTGTAAGGATTTAATGAGTAACGCAATGGCCTGTGCAAGTGCGTTACATTCACTGACACGTTATTTATCCTTCCTCTATCGAACAGCATCTTTTAGTCCCAGATTTCAAAAAAAGGAAAAAACAAAAACAAACAAACAAACAAACAAACAAACAAACAAACAAAAAGATGCCTGCACACTTTCACCATTGTAAAACATGTAGATCTGCCAGTTGTTTTCATCCCTAAAAATGTCCAAGATGATTGAAATTTAATATATTCTAGCAAAATAGCAGATATTGGCTGTGCAGACATGACGGAAAAAAAGTCAACTAGGTTTTATATTTCCTTGTAAGGCCACCAATTCGAACTGGCACTACGAAAATTCCAAAACTGGAGTAATTTTCTTACGTTGTTTATTCCAGTCAAGTCCACTGTAACTCTGACATAAAACGAAGCACCAGCGAAGGTTAAGCTGTAACTTGCTGACACAAACACCTCAGCCGTGATTAGCCCCAGGAAGCTTCCTCGGATTAGCAACTCCATCCGGGTCATTGTCAAGTTCAAACGACAGTAAGTGGAAATTCCCAGCAGCTCCGTGTACCCTTCGATGTATGCCTAAATAAAAAGACCCCGTTAAAAATACAGCGTCATTACAAGCCTAATGGTCGGCTCGGGTCAGGCCGGCCAGGTTCAAGATTTGGCTGGGATCACTGTGTTATCACCTTGGGAAAGGTGCTTTTGCGTCACAGATGAGAGTTCGTTTTACTCAGGAATATGAGAGGGTACTCGGGGGCTTAAATGCAACTTAGAACAGAAGAATTAGAGTCAAATCATTTCCATCCAAAGGGAAATAGTGAGTTTCCGAACCTGATACACTCGTAACGTTTTTTAAAATGGTCCACCCTTAAGTGTTAAGTTCAAGCTGTGATTTCATTCTCTTTGTTTGCCGTGCTGCAGTGTTCTGTAACGTGCCATTCCACTTCCTTTTCAATCGAAAATTCGTTTTAGTTGCAAGAAATAAGAAAGCAAATTTTTGCACCACTACGTTCTGTCACTTTATCTAATAATCTGTACTATTGTTTTACCTCAAGGAAGGGCGGAGTCTGTCTGGAGTCAACATAGAACCAAGGACCTTCTTCCGTGTTCGTCGGGCTACGCGAGATTTTAGCAATTCCTAAGATGTCGACTGGATCTGGTTTCAAGTCTACAAAAACAGCCTGGAAAAAATTTCAAATAAGGTAAACATTTGAAGGGATTATAAGTATTCATTTACAAAATCTGACAGATATATAAATTCTCATATATCACCTAAAGCAAGTTAACTGCCTCAGAAAGCACTTCGATAAAAATGCAGTTATTAATTAATCTTGTATCCCTTGATGTATGGCACTTGCCACTGGATGTAGTATTTAATTGTCCCTGAGAAGGGTGAAATTTAGATCATACGTGCACGATGAAAACACTCTATACAATTGCCACTGACAGTGTTACGTACCACATCTGATAACTTGACATGCGCGTAAATCTCCCATCCTAGAATGTTAACTCGTCCTTTGATCATGAAACCCTTGTAGATGTACGGACCACCAGCAATACGTAAATCAAAATCGGCCGTGGCATAAGAACCCTGAAAATATCAAAAGAGTGCAAATAACTCTTGATGATATGTGTGTGTATGGTGCTCTTACTTCCTTGAAGAGTGTTCAAACAAAAGAATCGAAAAAATAGCAAACTGATCATACATGTAATACTCCGTGTGATACCTATACTGAAGATAATAAGACCAATCCCCGCCTACCCCTCCCATCCCACCCCTCAAGAACAAAATTGCAGGCGTATTTTGGGCGCGTGAGTGCACATTCTCGTATCCTTGGCTTGCACGTGACGTCATCATTTTCTAAAATCTAAAACTAAAGAGCCATCAAAGTTTTTATCCTCGTCAGGCATTAGAGGGGGGTAGATTTATATCTGCTTACAGCTTTTCAGCTCAATACCTTGCTTCGTCTGGTAACCAGCGCATTTTGAATTTCAGAGTTATGGCGGTGCGTGACATAAAGCTATGAACGCGCTTGTCGAAAAATATATACTTATCTCGGGATTTTTAGCCTATTCAGAAGTTAAAGTTTTAGGAAAAGTGCTTATGTAAATGCCTGTTTGTTCAGTACAGATAATCAGCCGCCTAGATAGACAAAGTAAGTTCCAGATGTTTACACTATTTTCCGGCCGCCATGTTTGTGTCCCACGGAAGTACACCCACATGGCGGCTCCATTCTGGGCTCTGTAAATTTGTGCAAAATGTTTCGACGAATATCTGAAGTTTAGGAAAACGCACAGACTTAAAACTTGGAGAAGTGTCTACTTTACCAATCTCCTATAACATCACAATTTCCTAACTTTATCCACCGAATGGTTTTCGAATTTTTTTTTTTATTGCGTGACAGCGCAAGCCACGCATTAGGTCGCCATCGCAATCTGACCAATCCCTCTACCGGTCAAGCATCCAATTACAATTCAAGATGGAAGCATCGAAAACCTGGTCAATCGAATGTTCCGTTCCAAAATAACGCCTGTACTACAGGCTACCTATAGTGCTCTGTCATTTCCTACGCCATTTGATCGAGGCATTCCAGAAGAAGATGATCCGAATGTTATTTTCGATCACTAAGTGCGAAAATTCACGGAAATTGCATTCCAACCCCTAAAGGAAATTGATGGGATCTTGTAAGCCGTTAGCACCTGAGCTTGAAAATATAATGCGCGCTAAAAGTACTTAAGCTAATTTAAAGTCTTCTTGACTTCAAACTGAGGTTCACGGACTTCTGTTTCTCCCCGCCGAAGAAAAAGAAGGGAAAAAAACCAAGAAGCTGAATCCTCTCACTGTCATTTCTGTTTTTTTTTTTCTTTCCGCTAGCTCTTTCAATCTTCGTTCATTCTCTGATAAGAAGTGTAGAATTATTCTACACTTCTTATCAGTAGCTGTGAACATGGTTATCATGTTTTTGATCCAGTGCCTCACTTTAGAATTGCCAATCTTACCTCGGCGCCTTCTGGGAAGCCTGATTCCGCCACAGGAGGAGGAAGTTGAAATGTGAATCCCAAAAGTCTGATGATCTTTCCCAGCGTGAGCGCCGTGATAGACGCGTAGAAGAATTGCGGCTCTCCAACACCAACGTATCCACTGCCACCGAAACAATGACCCTGAATGGAATTTAATATATATTTTAATATTTTCGTGGCATGAAGTGACTTGGAGTATTGCTACATCCCCACCGCAGCAAGTTTGCCAGTTTATTTTTTTCTTCTAACAATAAAGAGTCAGTGATCTCAAGAGAAAGAGAGTTTAATCAAGATCTTTGGACCACCATATAGAAAACAGAGAATTGTTGGATATTAGCTCTACATAATGGAAGACGAAAGGAGTGTTTGTGCCTTGTGTTGTAACCATGGATTCGGTTGTTTGTTGTGAATATGTCTACCAATTATTTTGAGGGGGAGGAGAGTTTTTAAACGAGGACATTATGCAGATGTACTAAATGAGTGTCTTGAAGCTTTGATTTTTGTCTCTTATGTTGTTAATGTAACCCGCTTAGTTGCGTTATTTTCAACTACGAAAATCTAGCCAACTGGATTTACCTAGATAATAACGAAATCATGCTATATACATCATGTTAAATTATGCCGTTTATATACTCACATCGTTATTAAAGTCTGCCGGTATTAGACAGTCGTATCCAAATTCTACTCGCATTCCAAACTGTACACCAGTGATGGGTATAGGCGCTCCGACTTTGTACGTCATACTGTGGAGCGAAGGTAGTAAATGGTAAAAAGGTCATTGCATGTGCCATCTGCAAACCAGCTTTTTGGATAAGGAAGGAGACCAAAAGAGAGGTGTTTAGCCAGCCTTCAAAACTGTACAAGCGGTAAACCGTGTGGCAGTAACATAACAATCAGGGGGGAAAATGTTGAGACACTTTTGCAAACAAGTAAAAGACAATATGCGATTTGTGATTTATGAGAAAAACATTTTTTAAAGGAGCTGAAAGTGCATTCGACGTGTGAATTTTGTTAGAATTCTCTATTTAATCAATTAAAATGTACTCTCCTTTTCAAATCGCTTTTTCCAGGGAGAAACACTTCGAATGGACATACTATCGCTTGGTTGACATAGTCTCAGAAAATAATTAGAGTTGTCTATTTAGGTTTAGTTAGATACCTAAACACAAAACAAAACAGTACAAAATAAAAAGCATTATTTAAAAACTTCACAGACGTTTTCAAGCTTCGAGGGTTGGAGTGGAATTAGGCTGTAGTTTTAATCCTTAAACAGATCGATCGACTTTTAAATATCTGAAAAGAATGTTTAATCTTTTATTTTCTTTGGTCTCAAATACTTGTCAAAGAATAAAAAGAGCTGAATGAGTGGACGTTTATCTATCAGGAAATAAGTACTTCTGAAAAATATTTAGTTTTATTGTATGGGAAGGCAAATCCGACCGTTCTGATTCTTGGACGGGATTTTGCTAAATGGAACTTTTCCATTGAAATTTTCATAAGCCGAGTATTTTATTTTTGGTTTGAAATGCCAGCAAATTCAGAATTTGCTACTACTTGCCAATATTTCCCCAGTACGGCTCTCGCGCTCGGTTAGCAAGAGGTTAAAATTAAACGTCAGGTGCGTTTGCTCAAAATATGTTTTTCTTTTAAGAAACTACCTACCCAGGCAAAATCCTTACCCAACAAATATGTTCCCCAGAGCAAGCCAAGGGATGGTGTATGCCTTCCGCCACATACCACGCATGCCCAGTTTTCCTGACACTTTCTGTTCCGTGAAATCATATTCCAACACACCAAAGAGCCACAGTTCACTGTTAGGAGCGATTATACCGTCACGTTCAATTTCACCGTTGACAGGCACCTTGATGTCTGCACGGAATCCTAATTTTGTATGTGTATGAGTGGCATTCCAGTCGGCCTGGGAGAGAAAAGAAGATTAACTTGCTCAGAGAATTCTCACACCCTGATTGGTTACCTAGGAGAGGTATTCAGCGTGGAATTGCGACTCTTGAAAATGAAAGCGAGGCTTTGCGTGATATTGCACTGGAGCGACAACAAAACAACAACTCAAAAACAATTAGAAACAGTGACCCGTTTACCCATGTTTTTAAAATCACTATCGCCGTCCACAGAGCCGAAAACAAACTTAAGTCTTTTTGAAAGTGGAAGTCAATTGGAATGGATTCAACTGGAATGGCTTTTCTCGAGCGCCCATTGAGTATTGCAACATCCACACAAACGTAAATGAAACGGAGATTCTTTCATTTAAGAGGAAGACTATGCGATTCAAGGAAAATTTATAACCTGACTCGTGAATTTCACGTTAAATTTCACCTAAAAAACCGATATCACACCCATCGCTTCGCGATTCGTGCGATATCGGTTTTTCGCGTGAAACTTAACGCGGAATCCCCTCGTCAGGTAATGAATTTTCCTATAGTATCACATACAATTCCAGGAAAGATTAAATTAAAACGCCCTTTACTGTTTGTAAATATGCATTGGTTATATTCAAGGGATATTTAAGTTTGAAAAATGCATAAAATATGCAAATGAGAGGACTTAGTCATCCACTCGACCCAGTATTACATCAAGTATATAAATAAAGCTATCTCGGTCAATTTGCAGAAGAGACCATTGAAACTTGGTAAGCTAATAGTTCTACCGGCAACACACCTACGGCGGTGACTTACTCTTTTCAAGTTTCGTCCAACCTGATTTCAATATTTTAGTTATCTTTAGCTCGAAAAACATTAAGGAAGGCCACGAACTAAGCCTAACATATTTATATGTTTGCTGGATCATGCAGATGAGGCACCATCGGCAAATCCTTTATTATAATCGAGTAAATATTTTCGCTCGCGCGCGATTGATCTAAACGCATTACGTGACTGAATTTGCCCTAGCTAAAACTGGGGAATATCCGAGTAATATTCCCCAATTTTCAAAACCGCGTGTTGCGAAAAACTTTTGAAGGATAATAAACGCAAATAACCTCCGTTTGGCGCGAAACTACATGCTCGAATATTGTCCTTGGACATTATCTGTTCCCACAGTTTTCCTCGAGCTTCACTCTCGGAAAACTGTTAGCTTCTCGAAACAAATATCCGAGCATACTTCCGCGCCAAATGGAGGCTATTGTCTATATATTGAAAAGTTCTGGGAATGTCACATCGTTCCAGTTGTGTATATGTGTATATTTCACCTCTTGCAGTGCTTGTTCAGCGATGACTTACCTCTACGTACAACTCAAGTTTGTCGAAGTAGAGTCCATCCCAGATACGAATGTAAGCAAAGCCTACAGCGACTCGTATTTTCTTCCATTCAAACTGACCAGTGATGTAAAAAATAGCTGTTGGCCCTATGATCATCTTTGTAATTTCACAGAATGCGTTGCCACTACAGTCTTTGGGTAGGGCAAGTTGGGCTGCCATGAAGATACCTATATAGATACATTGTACAAAAGTAAATAGATAAAAATATATAGTTGGTAAATTGATGACAGTAAATTGAAATCACGTGATTAGTAGAAACACAGTTGGTAAGTCACTGGCTGACTGGTGAGGAGTAATACATTGTGGCCAATACTCGATTAACCCCTTGCCCTCTTCCCTTTTTAAACATCCCCTCTAATAAGCCCCCTCCGTAACTTCCACTTTTTAATAAACCTTCCGACGAGCCAATATATAAATAGCCGAGCCAATTTATAAATAATTTGAATTAACTGCATTTTTATTGAGCAGAAATAAGACCTAAAAAAGTCTCCTTCGTCTATTTTGTTATATTCGCTTGATAATTAATGACTGCTTAATAAGTTTCCTCTCTTATAGCGTAACGTCTCCACTCCTCCTCAAAAGGTCTTGAGAAGATCGAAAATACATGTTCTCAAGTACATCCAGTATTGCGTGTAAACGTTTTGCAGCGGCTAATTAAAGAAAATATTTTGCATGCAATTTTTACTTTCACTTTCTATCAAATTCCAACCCAACAAAATGTTAACATTTGTCACCTTAACCTCTTATATAATTATTTTTCACAAGAATAACGTTTGAACGACGTTCATGGGATGTTGCAGGAATAAGCCAGCTAGCCATGTTAAAATAGACTGGAATAAAACGTTTACGAAGCCGTTTATATTACCACCTGACTAACAATTTCAATCCAGGCTACCTATAGAATGTTAGACGCGACGAATTTTAGCTTACAAAACCGGAGGTTTCTCTCCAAGAAGTGTCAACTTTAGATCTTTTTGAATTAAAACTTTCCATTTACAAATACCTGCACTGTGTTCAAGAGCATTTAGACGCAAGTGCTAATACTTTGTGATAACCGTTAGTAAATACTAACCTTTTGGAACAGTAGTAGTGACCTGGGTATGAAGTGGTTCCTTCGAAAACTTGGTCTCTGCGTCCGTTACGATTTGCTGAAATCCTATCTCTTCAGTCGGGTGAAAAGATATACCAATCTAAACGAAGTAATACAAACGTAATATATAGATTTAGCCAAACTCTTGATCACAATATGTTAATTTGGCTTGAACCTGCAATCCAATCAAAACCTAGCACGTGGTCAGCGGTCAGCCGTCTGACGACGCTTTTCGTCGTAGGGCGCATGCTCTCGATCCATACTGCTAATCATGGTCTCTATTTCTATGCATGCATGTGGTTCTGTTCCTATAGTTATGGTGCTTCGCTATTAGTCGGAAAACCAATCAGTATTTATGAACCAAAAAAAAAGAAAAAAATAGTACGTCTAAACTCTGATCATTTACAATCAGTAATGGACTGAGGCTCATTAAGCCGACCGTTCATTTTCACAATAGTTCCCACTTCTATGCTCTCGTTTTTCCTTTTGTGGCCACGGTACCTAACTGTGAGTGGGGGCCATTCCATGGCTAGAGACGTTTTTGACATGGCCTTGACTTAATCATTTTATTCACGATCAATATTATTATTAATTAGAAGGTTCATGTATGGGCAACAAGGAAAAAGCTTCATGGAAGTCTTAATTCTGATCCAAACAATATTAAAAGGATGAGTAGAGAATAGAATTGGAAAACGTATCGTGTTAACAACTTGAATAGTTGTTGAAAATGTGAGCACTGTTGTCAACCTAACAGAACATTGTCATGGATTAAAAGATGCGGGATAAATCTTACCTGCAATTCTAAGCCAAGAGCATCCAGAAAATCTACTCCAATGCCGGACAATTTCTCGGATAATTTACCGAAAGACTCGCTATCAAAAGCGAAACCAACAGCGAATGTTGGCCGCCCAAATCTTATTCCCGTAATGATCTCAACGTGAATTGGAACACCTCCCGCGTCAATAGATCCAGTAAAGCGGTAGACTCCGACTTTGTCAATCTTCCTGAGTAATTCTACAGGCTTCATGGTGAAATCCCATATTCCAGCTCCCCTAGAAGTAGACAAGTCACCGCCAGCAGTTAATGCAGGGCGAAGTGTACGCAAGTATGTTCACCCTATCTTAATTGGTTCAAAGTGAAAACCCGGGGGGTACTCCGAGAAAAACTGGGTCGGGGTGTGCGACCCGCTTCCCAAAACCCTTACCCTATTTATGACCACAATCTGCGATTTTCAATACCCTTTTCATGACCTGGCCCTAAATCAATACCTTGTTTCAGATCTGCCTTATACTTAGTTCCATAGTTCAGACCGATGTTAAAGGCACCGTGAAGGGCTTTTGTTGATCGGACTTATCGATAATGATGAAAAGTAGCTTCTTCTAAAAAAAAAATCATGCCCAATTCAAGACTAGAGTGTGAAAACCAGACCCTATTAATGATCAAAATGGCTAGAATCGATACCCTATTAATGACCAAAACGGCTGAAAAACCATTACCCTTTGGGGCCTCACATACCTATATAGCCCANCCCCCCCGGAGTGAAAAGCTCTGCGTTGACCAGAAAAAGTCCCAGATGCAGTGCAAATATAGAGCACTAGAGGAAAGTACTACTTAATAGCTTATCGTTTTCATTGACACGTACTCATCTGGAGCTTGCTCAACAAACTAAACTTCAAACAGTTTTGACTAAACTTCGTTAAATGTGCAAAAAGGCTTATAAAACGTAACTTACTTTAGAGCATTAACGAAGAAATCCGGTAAAGAGTTGGTATTTATGCCAAAGGACGACATCATATCTATGAATGTACCAGATTCAGCCGTTCCCTTGGCGTACACTGATCCACTTTGGACATCCTTTTTCACCTCGGTATCAAATACATTTCCAGTCGTCAACGTATAACTTCCCTTAGCTTTAAACGTTTGTGAATTTCCCTCCGTGTAGTAGGAGAACCTAAATCGAAGCAAAAAAAAAAAGCAAAAAAAAAAAAAAACTACCGTTCACTAAAACAGGCAAAGAGAAAAACCTAGGTCCGATCATCAGCTTAGAGCAAGAAAATCTTGATGTTGGTCAAGTGAAAATAGAGGTTCGGTGGCCCGGTGGAACACTGCAAGTAGCCTCTGAAATCTTGTGAGTCTTAGCTTGTAATAATGTTTGCTTCATAAACGATAATTTCCAGTCAAAATTTATTTCAGAACTGATGTCTAGCTAGGACGGGAAGATTATGAGCGAAGCAATGAGTTGAAAACATGAATTTCATCAAAGTACAAGCATACTTTGTTGTCGTTTGCCCTCTGTCGTACCTTACTGGTAACTACAATGGCAAGTAGTATTAAAGTTGGGGAAAGCGAAACTGAAATTTACTGGCTCTCTGGGAAAGTGGACTTCAAATTTTGTTCCTGCTCTGCAAAGAGTGTCATAAGTAAAAGTCGCGAGTAAAAAACTGAAAAGAACGGAAATACCGCACAAAAAATAAGCCTGCTCCAGGCATAAAGTTAGAACAACTTTGTATATATACCTATGTCCAGTAACTAGCTATTTTGATTTCAATTTCAAGCGACTGTGGTATCATTCACAAACTTAGCTTCACTGTACATATAAAAGAACCAAACAAAAATATAGATATTTTGAAGGCAAATTTTCTACTAACCTGACATCGGTCATCTCATAACCGGTTATCGGTACATATTTTGCAGATTTGTCGACTTGGAACTCATATTTCCTGAGAGCTGGAGTGTCATCAATCCAGATGGAAAAGCCCAGAACATACTCCGTCTGCTCGGTCTTAGTCCACCCCGGTATAGCGTCAATGTTCGCGTAGTATTTTGCTATGTTGTCCACGACTTTCTTAATGGTCAACGGGTCTATCATCTCAAAACATACCTGAAAGTGGAAATTATAAATTATGTTCCCTCTGCAGGCTTAGTTGATGATAAATTACATTTTTCGTAAATTTTGAAATCATGAAAGTTTTTGTAGAGTTTGTTTCACTCTATTTTTATGTTGAAGTACCCAAGGGTGATTGACAGGTATAGAGTTTCTCATCGTCCTTGTGGTTCATTGTTCATGACATAGTGTCCATCGTCATCATCATCATCATCATCATCATCATCATCATCGTCGTCGTCGTCGTCATCATCATATTTCCTTCTATTTGCCATACAGTAAAAGTGTGTACAATAACAACAACTTTGACAGAGCGATGAAACCTCGCTCCCCCCCCCCTCAAAAAAAAAAAAGCCACCTCAGTCGTTACTACGATTTTATGGTGTATTCTAACATTTGCGATATATTGTTAAAGTAAGCCTCTTTTTGTTTCCTCTATTAACAAATAAATCATATTGAATTTGATATTGGTCTTTGGCTGGTAATTCATATTTGGCCCTTCATATCTGACTCACAAACCTTAGTAAGGTTCTTCTTTCCATAGTCATCTTTATCATCAGCTTCAATAAGAATAGCAAACCATCCACTTTCCAGCTCAGTTTGCATGAAACCAAAGCTTGAATAAACAGTAGAAGGAATGTCCTGTTTGTAAGCTCCAGTAGCTGAGAACTTTTCTGTTGCTTTACACTCGAGAGCGAGCCAGGAAGTAGGGTCTGCGGATGTTTTATCTGGCTTGCTGGGTTGGAAGACTAAGAACAAGAAGTAAGAACGTCTCCGTTTGATCACTGTAGTTGTCTGACGTTGTACAATTTAATCACTGCAAGTTTATTTTGTATAATGAAAATGTAACTATTGGCTGTATTTGGAAAAACTTTAGGAACGTTTGGCATAAAACAAGAAATAGTGAGCTTTGATTTGTCATCTTTTGTAATTAGGCATTTAACGTCATAAAGGCCACCAGAGGGAGCATTCTTTTCTCTTCAAACTTTAAGCCTTCAGACCCTTTAGTGATCTTAGCTTTTGTCGTCCGAGTTTTAATGTCTGGTTTCTATACCAAGGGAGTCGACCTTGACATACGAACATAGTAAATGGTTTGAACCCAGGAGTATCAGTAGTTCGTATAGTGTGATCGTCCGGATGAGGGTAGTTCTGAAAAGAACTGTTGTTGGTGACTGACGTTTCGACAAC